AACGGTGGGTTAGAAGATTATGCATAAAGGCCACAAGAGAATGTCAGAATACTTTAAATCTCTCCTCTCTGGGGGCATTGATCGCTACTAGAATGGATGATGTGGTGAGCCTAAAGAGAAAGAAGAGCGATGGCTACAGGATCAATAGCTAAGCAGTTGTGTTTCTGGAGATTTGGCTGAAGACAGGCTCATTCCTGTGCATCCCAAATAGCAACCTTTTATCGTGCACTACTTTTGAACAGAGCGCTATGAGCCCTAAATAAGGAAAGGGGTGCCATTTGGGACATATTCAGGTTCTGCTCCAGTCAAAGTCGCCATTGTTGATCAGGCTTCCTTCTGTTTGATTGGTCATCGTCAGGGACAGACTTAAAGGTAAATCAATTGGATTCGTTTAAGCTTTAATAATCAAAAATCCAATGGCAACTCTAAATGTTCATTGATTTTGGATGGGGGGGTGGACGGACGTGCATTGAAACTCAATCTGAGAGGTGAGTTTGGTGCTTTTCCATAGTTTTTTCAGGCCTAGTAATGGAGTCTAAAAGTAAGGCAAACAAAGAGATATGTGTTTGCACAAAGAAATCTGAGCTGAGCAGAATAAATTATAGCTGACATTTAGATCTTGATGAAAAGGTTGAGCCCGACCGAGACACTCTAACTAAATAATGTTGAATGGTCGAACGCTGGAGGCAACATTTTCAAATCCAATTTTTCTCCTTCTCCATCCCTCCAACCGCAGCTTTCAGTCAAAGCATCTTTGTAATTGCTTTACCCACCACATCCCCTCCACTTAAATCCACATATCAGTATTGGCTCACGGCGAATGCTCCGTTTGATAACAGATATAAATGCTAGGGTAGGGGCCATTCTTGGCATCACTGTGATTAATACACTGTTTGATTGTATCCCAGTTCAGTTTAGAAGTATTATTTCGTTCTAGTCATTGTGGAAGTGGTAGTAGTCTGATGTTATTGTTCTGTCTTAGCAATAAGTAGGTCCTTAACAAGCCTCAGCTTCATTTAGTCTATAGTTGTACTCTCCTTTCCCCAGTATAATGGATGATGGTGATCACTAGCATGCAGGAAAGGTTTAATTAAATCATACTCCAATCATAATCCATGTTGTTAATTAAACTGGATAATTTATAAGTACAAAAGAGGGGTATTTATTAGCTGTTCTGCAGCGGTGGCACTGCAGTGTATTAGTGAGACCACACGCACACACACACACACACACAAACACGGTGTACACACACGGCACACACAGTCCACACACACACAAACACACACAGAGTGACACACACACATACACACACTTCTATCTCCCTCTCCTTCCCTCCCCGGCTCCCCCCCCCCCCCCCTTTACAACCCTTTACTATTGATGTCCCCACATGATTGATAATGAGACAGTGACTGCTGTACTATTGTCTAATGGCTGTGCAATTAAATTCCCTTGTAAATGACCCATGCCTCATTTCATCCTAATCTATGGAATTTTGATTGAATTTGTCAGCCCTAATTGAAAAATACTGCTATTTAATGTCTGCATTGCAGTTGTGGATCAGGCAGCCTTTAATGAGATGGTGTCCCCATGACCCTGGAGAGAGAAGGGGGTGGGGGAAGATAAGAGCTGGGGGTGAGGGGTCGGAGCTGGAGCAGAGGATTGGGGGGAACTGGTGTAGGGGGGAGCCTGGGCTGGGGGATTGGGGCTGGGGGGTTGGCGGCTGTGGGGTTAGGGCTGGGGGGTTGGGGCTGGGGGGTTGGGCTGTGGGGTTAGGGCTGGGGGGTTGGGGCTGGGGGGCTCCCATGCATTCCCTTGGATTGGCTCAAGAGGAGTGGATCTGGATTTAGGCGGGTTAAGCCGTTAGGGGGGAGCACCCAACCCCCAATATTAACGGCCAGCTCACCTAATATAAAAATATGGCAACGCTATGAGAGGCTGCCTATAACACAGCAGTGACTTGAGTTATTCATATGAGTGACATTTATTGGTCGTCATGGACATCAATAGGTACTGTGGCTACTGACTCATATCAAGAGTGCTATTCAAATGCACAAACAATATCTGGATAGGAATCTAGCAGCAGTGAATGAACTACGGCAGCGATAAGAGAGGGGATGTCACCATGTGAAGGTCTCACATCAAGCAGAGGTTTTTCCATGCATGTTATTAACCTGGTACATTATACAGTCACTAAACATCACAAATCACTCACATTCTACTAGGTGGATAACAGCTTACCAAATGTACATGCACTGTAAGTGGCTTCGGATAAAAGTGTCTGCTAAATGGCATATGTATTATTATACATGTATTATAAAGCTTAGCCAGCCGTAGTTGCTGGGGTTTGTTCAGTAAGGTGCAACATTTACCAACGTTCAGATAGAAATACATTATTGTAGAACAGATACAGTATGATTCTCTCTTATATAGAACAAGGACTCCCGTCAGCTCTATACATTACATTTCTATCAGCAACGTCCTTTCAGCTTCCTAAATATGCTCTCCTGATGTTGATTCAACTCGTTTAATTCCAGTTGTATCAACACACTAGAGGTAGTGAGTACACGCTTAGAAAACAAAAAGTGCTATCTACAACCTAAAAGGGTTATTTGGCTGTCCCCATAGGAGAACCCTTTGAAGAACCCTTTTTGGTTCCAGGTAGAAACCTTTTGGGTTCCATGTAGAACCCTTTCCACAGAGGGTTCTACCTGGAACCAAAAAGGGTTATCCCATGGGGTCAGCCGAAGAACCCTTTTGGAAACCTTTTTTCTAAGAGTGTAGAATGGGAGATGAATTAAGCTAGATAACTCACAGTGGATGGCATGAGCAGAGGAGTGTCAGGTCTGGCACTGGTGGATGACAGAGGGCTGGTCTGGGTGTCAGGGAAGGCTCCCATCACCCAGTCCTCCAGTCCCCTCCACGCCAGCGACCAGGGCTCCAGCGAGCCAGCGCAGCGCGACCCGCCAGCGCCCAGCCAGCGGGCTGACCCAGTCGCCATCTACCACAACGCCAGGACAGCCAGTCCCAGCAACAGTAAAGCTCCTCCATCGGGCCATCACCGCAGCGCGCCATCAGAAAGAGCCATCCATCTAGCCATTACCGGCAGGCGCTATCTTCACCTCCATACGCAGCCCCTCCATCTTCCATCTACGCCATCACCAGCACATCTCTCCAGTCTCCATCTACCTTGCATCTCTCCATCTACATCTCTCCATCTAACTTCCATCTCTTCTCCTTCTCTACATCTACCCTCCATCTCTCCATCTCACTCTCAATCTATCCATCTACCCTCCATCTTTCCATCTCTCCATCTACCCTCCATCTTTCCATCTCACTCTACACTCCCTCTCTCCATCTACCCTCCATCTCTCCATCTACCCTCCCTCTCTCCATCTACCCTCCATCCCATCTACTCCTGAGTGGCGCAGTGGTCTAAGGCACTGCATCGCAGTGCTAACTGTGCCACTAGAGACCTGGTTCGAATCCAGGCTCTGTCGCAGCCGGCCGCGACCGGGAGACTCATGGGTGGCGCACAATTGGCCCAGGGTAGGGGAGGGAATGGCCGGCAGGGATGTAGCTCAGTTGATAGAGCATGGCGTTTGCAACGCCAGGGTTGTGGGTTCGTTTCCCACGGGGGGCCAGTATAAAAATATATATATATATGTATTCACTAACTGTAAGTCGCTCTGGATAAGAGCGTCTGCTAAATGACTAAAATGTAAATGTAAATCTCTCCATCTACCCTCCATCTCTCACATCACCTGAAGGCTATTTGTAGGCCCATTGGTAGCGTGGTTGGTGGTGAATGTGGACCTTCCCCAGTTTGATCTAAGCTTACTGCAGGTACAAGAGGCCATAATATCAGGGAACAGTCTTTTCTCAAAATGACCAATACTTATGGTAGTTCTGAATAGGTGGAACAGGATTTTTTTTAAAGTTAATTATTCCTTCTGGGGTTTTTTTTCAACACACACAAAGCAACAAAACACCCATGCACACACACACACATTCAGGACTAGGTTTGCAAAATTCCGGGAACTTTCAATAAATTCCCTGGTTTTCCAGAAATCCTGGTTGGAGAATTCAGAATGTCCTGCTTATTCCCTCCCCTATCCAGTACAAATAGTTATTTTTATGATTTATACATTGCATGTAAGGAAGATAGTTGTAGTCAATATTTATGCATATTGAATGTGTAGCCTAGCTAATTTTCATTTGCATTATGGTCCCTTAGGATGTGTATAGCCTACGCTTTACAAATCCACATAATTGGCATTTATTTCCTAGACCGAAGCCTGCCCTCACAGGTCTATGTGACGAATGACAGCTAGGCTAGCCCAACAGTTTAACAGCGACCAATGAAATGCGAGAGTGCGATGAGAGGGTGGTCCTTGCGAGTGGAAGAGCCGATTAAACAGAGGGAGCGGAATTTAAACCTCCTTGCTTAACATCTGGATGTTGTAGAACGGAGTAGCATCACTCTACTCTCTAGAGTGAGTTAGACAGACGTGCGGAAACCGAGTATCATCGAATTGAAGATTGTTGTTGTCAAATGGTCAGAACGTCAGCGACAACTCGAGGATATTGATTGGCACTTGGAATGCGCATTGGCTCCCGCTATCGGAGCGCAAGTTAAACCAAAAGGGCCCACATGAGTTCTGCTAAATTCGGAAACCACCACGCCTCCAAGTTGGCAGCTTATTCTCTTGATCTGGACACGTCTCCACTCTCCAGCACCGTGTGTCGATCATATGCAATGTTGATGGAATGGTTTTATTTAATCGCGAGAAACGAACAAATAATCACGGGATTACCAAAACGTCCACATTTCTAAGGTCGGTTGTCTGTCGAATAACAACGTTGTGAAGTTGGTGACTTCGGAACCCAAGCAAGACAAACTGCAGGGGTCATCGCTCCCTTCCTTGTCTCCAGTAACATTTCCTTGATTGACATTCCTTCCATCAGATCATATGAGTGCAGCGTTCAGCCCTTCGTTTATGATGATGCAGCGCCCACTGGGAAGCACCACTGCCTTCAGTATCGACTCTCTGATCGGCGGGCCCCCTCAGCCCAGCCCGGGACACTTCGTCTACACTGGCTACCCCATGTTCATGCCGTACCGGTCAGTGGTGCTCCCACCGCCCCCTCCGCCGCCCCCTGCCCTACCCCAGTCCGCCCTGCAGCAGGGGCTCTCGGCTACCCATCCGCACCACCAGATCCCCAGCCTCCAGAACTCTTTCTGCTCTAGCCTGGCTCAGGGCATGGCGCTCACCTCCACCCTGATGGCCAGCCTGCCTGGAGGGTTCTCGGCTTCACAGCAGCACCAGGATGCGGCGAGGAAGTTCGGCTCGCAGTCTCTCCACGCAGCCTTTAATAAATCTCAGGACATTCGTTTGGATGGGGATGACGGAAAGACTTTTCTAGGAAAGGAGTCCGCGGCGCTCCCCTCCTACCACGACTCAGAGCCACTGCAGTCATCCACAGGTACAGTAAACTCTGCTGGACAGGGTTGTTTACATGACCTGACTTAAGGTTCTATTGAGGAAAAGTTTGACTTAGCCTATGTGATATGTGGTTGTCTTGTACCTGGATGCACTAAATGTAAGTCGCTCTGAATAAGAGCGCCCAAGTTGTAAAAGAGAAGTTCAAAGCGAATACTCGTATTTATTAGGCCTATTATTTAAAATAGTGCACATTTGCAAGGTTCATTATAAGAGGTAATTCGAACTCTTAACTTTACCTAATTAATTATGCTATTAGGCATAAACCTAAAGGACCAATATTACCAAACTACGTCATCAATGTGCAAAGAAATACCCACGTGCAATTTGAGGATAACTTACAAGTTCTACTCACTCAATGTTGGCTTAGGCTATATCCTGTGAATTTCACATCAAACGACAACGATTAAAGTCTACTGATAGAAAGTGACTGTTGCCCCTGAGTGAAAAATGTGTCCTTTTTAAAAACAATTTATTTACATGGACGCGTCCATATTTTGTCGTGAGAAGCTTGACATGATATCTGCATATCAAATACGTTTATATCAGGCTTTTCAATGAATAGTGCCTGGGGGCAAACTGCCTTCAATTACTGAATTAGCCTATTTTAATTGAAGGATGGGAAAAGCGCCTGCAGTATTTGAATGTCTATAAAACTGTGATCAAAATTCAAAGTCGAGGGTCTATATATATATATATGAGGGTCTATATGTATTATGAAATACATGTATTATAACACTAACTCCGTAAGTGTTTTTAAGACATTGTATAATATGAATCAATTGCTTTTGTCTCTAAAATGAATGGAATTATGGTCAGCGCGAGGCCTATTTCAGACGTGATATATGTCGTGATATAGCTGATGGACCTATTTCGATTAATATTTCCTTAAATAGATATTTACTTAAATAACTTTCACTTCACTTAAATACGTCCAGAGACAATATAATTTGTTCCTAATGTGTTTGTAACAATATATATAATGTCATAGGCTATTGTTTTTCTGTAACACAATATCTAAAGTCTACTCGTGCATATTTACGCATGAAACGAAAGGTCGTGATGTTATTGTGATGAATCAAATATAGAAGAAAAGGAAGTTGCTTATTTTGTAAAGTAAAATGTTTCATTAAAAGTATGATTGTGGTTATCCATTATATAAACTCAAACTGTTGCATATCAGTCCATGATAGGTTACACATTGTAATTTATTTTTCTATTTTGAGGTCAATATAGCCTAAACTAACATTTTCTATTTCCTTACCCCCACAGCCAGAACCCATGGCAAAGAAGACCCGAAAGAGGACGAATGCAATCGAAGAGATGAGAGCTTCTCAATGGACAGCGATTTAGACTACAGCTCTGATGACAACACGAACGGTAACTCGATGTGTCAGAAAGATGATGGGGATGGTAACGTGGATGAGGGCGTCCACGGGTCCAACGGCACTGGCAGCACCACGTCTACCGGCAAGAACCGGCGGCGGAGAACGGCGTTCACTAGCGAGCAGCTATTGGAGCTGGAGAAGGAATTCCATTGTAAGAAATACCTGTCTTTGACAGAACGCTCTCAGATCGCGCATGCCTTGAAACTCAGCGAAGTGCAAGTCAAGATCTGGTTCCAGAACCGGAGGGCCAAATGGAAGCGCGTGAAGGCCGGTAACGTCAACTCCAAAACCGGCGAGCCATCTAGGAACCCTAAAATCGTGGTGCCCATTCCTGTGCACGTCAGCCGGTTTGCAATAAGGAGTCAGCACCAACAGTTAGAGCAAGCCAGACCATAACAGTTCTGTATGTTAAACCGATGGACTAAATACAGATTAAGTTAATAACACTGTTTAAAAACAGAAAAACGGCACACACGTTATTTTGGACTTGGACTACTGATAATCACAAATCAAGTTTATCCTTTGGTGAGTCTTTGTAAACCAGAGGAGAGCTAATTAATTGATGGTACATTGCCTTTCCTTTGCTTTACTGCTGAATCGATCCACTGATGGTATGTTGATTAAATACCAAGAGACAAAAAAACTCAAAATTGTAACATATGTATCACCCTGGTTACGAGTGTAAATACCGAGATGGACCATAACTATAACCGCCATGGGAGCAAATTGAGAACAATACAACAAGACAATACATCCAATTGTACATTTCCCGAGATATTGAAAAAACGTCTTTGACGTTTGTGTTGCTGATTCTGAAGGACCTTGCTTGTTTTATTGTTGTTTTTGCATCAGGCGCAAATCAGATCAGAATGAACAGCTTTGTCTCAAAAGGAGCACTTATATCATTTCTAATTCTCCTTTATCACCCCCCCCCCCCCATACCAATACACATATTGTACACATAGCCTACAAATATGCTCAAACACCTCAACCATCAATCACCTCCATTAAAAAGCAAAAAAGTGCCCCTGCAAACCCATCCTACTTTTGTTCTCAGTTTGAGTTTCTGTTTCCATCGTTTCATTCCATGGTTGCTTGAATTATTTTTCCTCGTTGTGACTTTTTCAACAGTCAAGAAGCACGCTGCTAATTTATTTAATATTGTGCAAAAAGTAACTAACATTCCATGACTTATTGAGTAAATAATAAAGTGTGCATTAAAGATGAATCATTAGCAATTATGTCAACAATTTGTCCGTTTGTTTATTGTCATTCCATTTTTGTGCAAGGCCGTTTGAATTTGAAATGTTTTGCGAAATGACGCATGTGCTTTCCTGAGTGCTGGGCTTCGAGTTGATCATTATATTTTAATTCCTTGGTTGCTTATTATTTTCACCAATATATCAAATGCTAATTTGGGATTATTCAACCTGTTGTCTGCAAGTGACAAATATTATTTTCACAATCCACTAAGGAAGATAGTTGGAAGATAATTGCATATGTATTTTATCTTAAAATTAAGGCTGATTAACGACACGATTTCGTTTAGATTTAATTTACAACACAAGTTATACTTTTATTATTAAGACTATTACTTGTAATAACCCTGTAATTATTACACTATTATAATTTATGACTTTCAGATTTATACAATTTTGTCTGCACCAACTGTGAGGTGCAGTTATTGCTGAGGCAGGACCAACTGTGAGTTTTGCAGGTAATGCAGAGGCAGGACCAACTGTTTATCTCTCCAACAGTAGAGCCATGCAGTCAGCCAGGGAGGTGACCGTTTACACCTCTACCCCTCTGCTCCAGCCACCCTCTGAAATTAAGGCCAACCTCGTCGCGTATGTTGGAGCAAATCAACCTGAGGCATGTCAATAATAAATATGTAAGAAGATCTCGCTCCGCGACGCAATCTCGTGTTATGACAGGGGGTGGGTCGTATCAGCCAGGGTGAATGAAACTCCAAGGTCACGCGCTGTGAGGAACACTAATTCCCATCCGAGTGAAACGTCACGAGCACGGCTGTTTAGGAAGGTCGCCGCCCGGTGTCAGCCTTGATCTTCCGCCTCACCTTGCCCCGGCCCCGCGCGCCTCATTTATGGTACCGGGACGAAGCGGTGACGTGTGTTTGGCAAGCCTCCCAGCGCGCCAATTGCTTTTCCATTAATATTGACATCTATTGAGGTGGACAATTTCATCAGCTGGTAGAGCACGGCGCTTGTAACGCCAAGGTAGTGGGTTCGATCCCCGGGACCACCCATACACAAAAAAAAAATTATGCACGCATGACTGTAAGTCGCTTTGGACAAAAGCGTCTGCTAAATGGCATATTATTATTATTATTATTATTATTATGAATTCATTTTGATAAGATTACCGACTAAAATAAAACGTAGGCCTACTTGCAGGACTTTCCCCTTGTGATCTCTAAAGACATCTTGTTGATCTCTGTCGGTGATGTTCCGCGCATGAATAGCCTGCGTTAGGCTACATCTGCTAGGCCTACCACAGTAGGTCTATAGCCTACCCTAAGCAGATGAAACAGTTTAAAATGTCACTGGGTAGGACATTTTGTCAGTAGGCTAAATGATAAAATAATCCATTCTGATAATGTATTTATCTGTGTTATATAAACGAATATAAAACAATATTGGTTATTATAATTCGCCTTTCTTGCAATAGGTTAACTTGTTGGATACTAAATAGGCTAGGCTACACATTTTAAGACAAAGCTATTATTTAAAAAAAAAGTGTTCATTGTTTTACAAAGTTCTAAAAAGCAATTTGTCCCCCAAAAAATGTTGTTTTTAACAAACACATTTGGAGTTAAATATCATTTTCTACTAGACCTACTGTATATAAATGACACAAATAATATCCTCTATTCCACTGAGTATTGATTAAGCCCACAAGTGTCATCAAATAAGACAACCATCATTCTTTCTCAGCTAAAGCATCCTCAAAGATGGTGCATTAGTTTAATGATCGTTCTGTGGTGTAGCCCCTCTCCCTCTCTCTGGCAGCATTTAGACAGCGCGATATTCCCCCGGGCTACAACAACGCTATTATCGTCACGCGCATCATTTATCCCAGGCAAGCGCAGCACGCTAAGCACCGCACGCACCTGCACAACATTTTGATGTCAGTCATTGTTTGTAATTCGCACGCCATGATAAGGCACAAATAACGCTGTTATATCCTCCAAATAAACTAGAGCAAATAGGCTATGGATCCTGACATACAAATAGGCCATTTTATTTACATTTAATTAATATTGTATTACGAGGCCTATAGCCTACCCAAATCATAAAGTTTATAGTTGCCTCTATTCAACCCACGTAAAATGTATTTTCCCTACAGATTCATCGTTTGAAATTCTCCAAGCACATTTTTTATTATTAAACTGAAATCCCAACTCGTCATTGCAGCAGAAAGAGTGAATTATTGTAAAGCTCAGATTTATGGCGGCAGCTCGCGCTCTGGGTGAGCATCAATGACAGCCCTGGCTACAAGATGAGCTCTCATCACCGGCTCTAGAGGAGTGTGTGTGTGTGTGTGTGTGTGTGTGTGTTGTCTTCTATTCCACACAAACCCGTACACACCCCGACAGAGATCCACTCAGGCATTTGATTACTGGATACTTATAACAAAATATGTCCATTATACAATTAATCAAATACAGATTTGGTAGATTAGATTGTATTGAAAGAACACACACTGAGCAATTTGTGTAGCCTACTTGAGGAGGATGTTTGACAGAGAAAGCGATATGCAGTATGCGATATGAGTACCGCTAACTCTAATGAATTTTTTTGCAAATTGTAATCAAGCCGGGCCGTCGCGGTTGGCTGATAAATGAGGCCCAAGGGGATAGGTCGGGACCTCCGCTTTTCACTCTAGCATGTCCCCCCTGCACTAAATTAACAGCAACTTGTCGAAGCTTCAAATTAACCCCTAATGATTAATTCTGATGGAAAGCGAGCCATGAGACCAGCGTGGCCTAATAGACTCTGTCTTGAGAATGCTGCTACTGGAAATTAATACTCTATATACCCCACATACACCTAGGCCTCTCTCTCTCTCTCTGTATCTCTTTCTTTTATTCTCTCTCTCTCTCTGTGTATCTCTTTCTTATATTCTCTCTCTCTCCCTCTCTGTCTCTTTCTTTTATTCTCTCTCTCTCTCTCTCTCTCTGTGTCTTTCTTTTATCTTCTCTCTCTCTCGGGTCTCTTTCTTGTCTTCTCTATCTCTCCTCCCTCTCTGTGTCTCTTCTGATATCTCTCTCTCTCCCACTCTGTCTCTTTCTTTTATTATCTCTTACCTATTGTGTACTTTTTTTATTCTCTCTTCTCTCTGCTCTCATCTCTCTTATGTGTATTTTTTTATTCTCTCTCTTTCTCTGTGTCTCTTTCTTTTATTCTCTATCTCTCTACTGGTCTTTCTTTTATTCTCTCTCTATCTATCTCATGTGATCTTTCTTTTATTCTCTCTATCTATGTGTCTTTATTTATTCTATCTATCTCTATCATATCATTGTGTCTCTTTATTTATTTCTCTCTATCTCATATCTCTGTGTCTTCTTTATTCTCTATATCTCTATCTCCTTACTGTATTCATTTCTTATATTCTCTCTATCTCCTCTGTCTCTTTCTTTTATTCTCTCTATCTCTCTCTGTGTCTCTTTTTTATTCTTCTCTTCTCCTCTATCTCTTGTGTCTCTTTCTTTTATCTTCATCTTCTCTCTCCCTCTCTGTGTCTCTTTCTTTTATTCTCTCTCTCCCTCTCTGTGTCTCTTTCTTTTATTCTCTCTCTCTCTTGTCTCTTTCTTTTATTCTCTCTCTCTCTCTCTCGCTCTCTCTCTCTCTCTGTGTCTCTTTCTTTTATTCTCTCTCTCTCTCAAACACCCCCAAAGCATAATGTTTCCACCTCCATGTTTGATGGTGGGGATGGTGTTCTTGGGGTCATAGGCAGCATTCCTCCTCCTCCAAACACGGCGAGTTGAGTTGATGCCAAAGACCTCGATTTTGGTCTCATCTGACCACAACACTTTCATCTAGTTCTCCTCTGAATCATTCAGATGTTCATTGGCAAACTTCAGACAGGCCTGTATATGTGCTTTCTTGAGCAGGGGGACCTTGCGGGCGCTGCAGGATTTCAGTCCTTCACGGCGTAATGTGTTACCAATTGTTTTCTTGGTGACTATGGTCCCAGCTGCCTTGAGATCATTGACAATATCCTCCCGTGTAGTTCTGGGCTGATTCCTCACCGTTCTCATGATCATTGCAACTCCACGAGATGAGAACTTGCATGGAGCCCCAGGCCGAGGGAGATTGACAGGTGTTTTGTGTTTCTTCCATTTGCGCGAATAATCACACCAACTGTTGTCACCTTCTCACCAAGCTGCTTGGCGATGGTTTTGTAGCCCATCCCAGCCTTGTGTAGGTCTACAATCTTGTCCCTGACATCCTTGGAGAGCTCTTTGGTCTTGGCCATGGTGGATAGTTTGGAATCTGATTGATTGATTGCTTCTGTGGACAGGTGTCTTTTATACAGGTAACAAGCTGAGATTAGGAGCACTCCCTTTAAGCGTGTGCTCCTAATCTCAGCTCATTACCTGTATAAAAGACACCTGGGAGCCAGAAATCTTTCTGACTGAGAGGGGGTCAAATACTTATTTCCCTCATTAAAATGCAAATCAATTTATATCATTTTTGACATGCATTTTTCTGGATTTTTGTTGTTGTTATTCTGTCTCTCACTGTTCAAATAAACCTACCATTAAAATGATAGACTGATCATTTATTTGTCAGTGGGCAAACGTACAAAATCAGCAGGGGATCAA